GGGGGGGGGGAGCTCGACAACAACTACTCATCTTCAATGGATGACCAGGAAAAAGAGGAAGAGAGAGAAGAAAAGAAATCGTACGGATTTTCCCCCTTAACGTTCCCAGCAGCGCTGGAAGCCTCAATCTCTCCCTCTCTCTCTCTGTGGAAACTGTGGATTCCATCATCCTCAACAAGCTCGGATCCTCCATATCCTCTCCCTGTGTCTTTTCTTCTCTCTTGCAGCGAGTCCATGGAGAGCTCACCGAGCCTCTTTTCACCAAGTTACGGTACTATCCCATGTAAAAGAACAAACGCGGTGACAAACGTGTGGTGCACGATTGATTATATATATATATTTTTAATTTGTTGTTTAAATGTTGATAGTTTGGCTGCTACGAGAGTGTGTGTGTGTGCGTGTGCGTGTAAATAAAAGGAGAGTGGGGGCGCAGGGGCCCCGTCTGCTATTGTGCGTAAGGCCAGCCTGGAGTGTGGAGGGGGGTGGGAGGAAGGGGGGTCGTGACAATGGCTCCACCCATTTAATTACCATACAAAAACGATGCAGCCCGCCTTAATCGCGGATTCAAGTAAGGAATTCATAAAGCGAGAGCGAGAGAGAGAGAGAGAAAGTGAGTAGAGAGAGCGGGGGAGCATGCGAAGAAAACTTTGTAGGCTTATCGGGCAAGGCTGAAAAGGGGAAAGCGGGGAGCCCCCTTTGCGCACTGATGAGAGAGAGAGAGAGAGAGAGAGAGAGAGAGAGAGAGAGAGAGAGAGAGAGAGAGAGAGAGCCTCTTGGGAGCGCGCCCTGCGGGTTGCCTAGTCTCAGACGGGTCCCAAGGCTGGAGCCTAGCCGCGGGAGACGACTTCTTCTCTCATTCGGAGTGTGAAATTCGCCCCAGGGAGACCAAGTGTGCGCAGATGAAATATATGGCTGTTTTTAAAGCACATGCATCACCGGCTCGTCGCCCATAACTCGTGTTTCGCCCGCTGCTCCGCTCTGCCGGCCCCGAGACAAACTGACACGAACTTGTTTCAATTATTTCGATTCCTTTTGTTCTCTCACCCGAAAAAATTGAATCCCTCCCGCCGATTGATACTTTGGCCCCTTCCCGTCCCCCCCGTACACTTGAGCGCCGCGACAGTTGGCAGACCTGTCATCGCACTCGTTCAAATGGGTACCGTGGCGTTTTCGACGTGAACCAACAACAACCAAATTTCCGATGATTTACCTACTCTATCTCCGACGTCTCACTCGCCAGTGCCGCCAGCCCGAGAGGCATTCCGATGTGCATCGCGTCCCCGCCGTGACTGCGTCTATGAATCAAGGGCACTCTTGAGCCGAGTTTCTCTTGCACACCCCTCTTGTGTGGCAGACCTGCGCGCGACCAAAGAGTTATGACGAGGTTGGGCATGGCAGGGGGTTGGCAGCGCTGGTCCTCCGCCCCCCGCCTGTTTTACCGACACACACCCCTGCTCACCTCCTAACCCTGCATCCATATCCGGCTCTCACTCCTCCCCCTCCCCCTTCCCCAAAATCCACCCTCAGTTCTCTAATCCTTTTCGGCTCCCGCGCTCTTCCTCTTTGTGCCTCTCGCTGTCTTCTGTCTTCCACTCTCTTTAACCCCCCC